CACGACGAACTGTGGGATCTGGGCGAACCGCGTCGAGTTTACGTCGGCGGGTTGACGATCGCAGTGATGGGAGTTAGCACGCGACGGTCGGGATCGTCGGTGCGGGTATGAGGATCGATGATTGGAGTTGAGTGAGTGATTGGCCCGGGTCCGTATTATAATTCACGGCGAATGCGCCTTTGTTGTTGCGGATCTTTATCTCTGGCGTGAGTGTACGGCGGCAACGCCGAACTTCCTTTTATTTTCGGATCTTGTCATCTCCTATCTCGATCTTCCTCCCTTGTCTCTCTTTCTCTTTTCTATCTTTGAGTGACGATGTGTCTTGATGCTTGTTCCTCTCGTAAATGAGAATGAGTTTGTATGCTTTCCTGCGTGTAGGAACTTCTTCTGGAACTCTTCCATTAGTTTCCTGGGTAATCCCCGGCGGTCGAGGAATTGATCCTCTTGTCTTGTGAACGGTGCATGCGTGTGTACAATTCCCTCGGTTGATTTTCGATTTGTGTACCCTTGTCATTTTCGCACCTTCCACAGTGAATGAATGTATGGAGATGCTTGCCTTTTTATTAGACGCCGCACTCAGCGGGATTTTGTTCGAGAATGCAAGAGTGTTTAGATCTGTAGTTCTGAATGCACTGCGCATGCTATCTACCTTATGTTGCACGACATCCGCAGCCGATCTACAGGGCAGCCTCGAGAAATAAGGCGCCTGGGATCAACACCACGGTGGCTTACGGAAACCTGAGTCGCGGGTCGGTCCCTCAGTTACATGCATGATCGAGCTGATGAGTGTTTTCTCTCTCTCTTTCGTGTCGAAAAGGATTGATTGGTGATTGCGCGAGTGTTTTTCCTTGATGACTTCTCGTAATTTTTGCAATTGATTGACATGTGGACTGACAAGCACCCTTCAATCAGGCGTCACCCTCCCATACCTCACGTATCAACACGACCTTTTCCCTACAACAAGGAAAGGACACGTGTATGCGAGTGGGACGTACGAGAAGYTGTCGCACAGATCGGCGGACGATACTACTTCCCTCCGGCAAACCGTTGTTCAGGGTTCGTAGAGGCTGGGTTTGTCATTATCGATACACACTTCCCACCCTACTCGATATTGTTGCCATTCAACGAGTTGATAGTCATCCCTTGGACGGCAGTAGAACCCCACTGGTCGCGCACTCTGTGCACCGAATGTCAGCGCTTTGAGCGCTATGAAACCAAGGGTTTCCACTACCGTGTGCGGAGTGAGGACGAACATAGAGAAAGAGTCACTCTACTAAGACCCTCCACGTCGGATTCAGAACTGGTCAGTGAACGACGACGGGACTTAATACGGAAACGAGACACGCGAAGCGTGTCTAAACGACGGGCCGTAGCCAGGTGGGAAGTCCGACAATATTTTTTGGATTGAATTTGTATTTCTCTCTCCTCTTGCGTCAAACTTCCGCGTGCATTTTTCGTCGCTCGAAAAACGATCGACTTACTTCGTCGGACCAACACGGGGGATCTCAGTTCCGTCTGTATCCCCACACTCAACTTCCAAAAATCCTTGGCACATTCCATCTTGCTGTTTTTCCGGGCCTCTTTCCGCACATCTAGCACTCCAAACGAAAGATAGTACAAGGCGTGAGGTTGGTATCGGAGCCGATACGTGTCGGTTCTGATGACAGTAAGTCGAACTGGAGAGAGGTAGAAGAAGTCCCCCACCCGCTCGCTGAGATCGTCCAGTGACCAGATTTATATCTGGTGCGGCTATACCGGCTATACCAATGGTAGATGGTAATAGGGTGATCGTTAGCATTCCTGCCCCTTTCCCCTTCTTCCCTAACCATACCCACCCCGAAGCTTGGCTGGAAGCCGTTGAAGCTCAAGGTTATAGCGCGGGTGATCTTCCCCGCGTTCTTACCTTGCTACTCTGTAATACGTCGCATGACTCGTTTAGAAAGCATACATGGGTAGATTGGAATACTTTCAAACAAGCATTCTTGGCCCAATTCGATACGGTCAGTGAAGATGCCGCCTGGTACGTGCTCAAAACTCGGCCACAAGGACCAGGGGAATTGCTACCCGATTTCGTGGATAGATTTCAAACCACGTTGGACAAATCTGGGCGAGACGAGAAGCCCGCTCAAGATTTGTTCATTGATCATCTACGAAGTCCGACGTTGAAAGGGAAGTTACAGAAAAAGGTCCCGCCAAAGACACACCAGCTATCTGCTATCATCGCTAAAGCGTTGGAACTGGACCTGGCTGATACAAAAAAATATGTGAGTCAAGGAGACGAAGATATTACAGATACCATACAGGATGTAGCGGCTAAGAGGCGATCATGGTTGCGGGTGGTAGACAGGTCTTATCCCCGCCCCGACCATGACCTTCCCGACAGGATCGCTTCCGATATTCCGCCTGTTTCTTCTTCCTCTCCTCCAACGAATCAACTGATAGCGGTAGTTAAGAGAAGAATCTCCCACGAACCTCCCTCGCCGGCCGTAACAAACCTACATCTTGCCCAAATGATCCATACGACCACTACTAAGCAATCTAAATGGATGAGCAACCTGGTTCAAATGCAGGCAGCTCACATGGAGCGGATGAAACAAATAATGAGCAGGCTAATTAAGCCCAACCCGGCCCCTGCTTGACCTGCCCCCGTGTCATTTCCTCTCTTGCCTGCCCCGCCTGCACCTGGTTATCCACCACAGTTCCCCCACCCGGCTAATCCAGCAGGAAAGATCGAGTGTTTTAACTGCAAACAGCCCGGACATTTAGCCCGGTACTGTCCGCAGCCAAAACGTAATCAACCCCCGCCGGTTGCGGCCCCTGTTGCTCTAAACCAAGGACGAATGGCCGCATTGATGGACACGGCCCAAAGAGGAGAACTCATTGCATATGAGCAGCCTTCCCTCACAACGGCAATAGCGTCAACATCGGGATCTTCTTCCTCTGACGCTGCTGACGTGGTCGATCCACTCGAGTATCTTCATCTAGCGGGCATGATCGGGGCGATCCGATCGGCCCCTGATGATCTTGAATGGGTCGATCGCGATTCTAATCCCGGTCCACAGTTTAGGACGGGCGAAATCGGTGTGTTACGAGCGCTCAAGCAGCTAGATATCCGTGTTCCGATTCCGGTGGGACACTTGCTCACCATATCTGAAGCTGCAAACGACAAATTGTTACAACAATGTCAGAAGAATCAAAAACGCTTCACGTACCAGCGCGTATAACGAATGTTAAAAAAGAAGGAGGAGGAAAAACAGGATGTTGCGCCACCAGAACCTGAAACGGGTGAACTCGAAGCAGCACGAGTAGTTGCGATCTCGTTAGTAGAGAAGGATCATTTCGTACGGGCTCGACCAGTACTGTGGAAGAGCGAGGAATGTGATTGTGAAGTTTGGGGCAAGCCGTTTAACGCCCTTATCGACACAGGGTCTTCTGCCGTGGCCATATCATTAGACACTGTCAGAAAAACGGGACGACTCAGATCCATTCTTCCTCAATCAAGCAAAGACAATTACGTCTCTGCCGACGAGGAATCAACAAACATCGTGGGCATTATTGAGAATGTGGCTGTAAAGGTTGGACGAGTACACGTCCTTGTTAACGCACTAATAATAGATGTGCGTTCCTATTCTGTGTTGTTGGGACTACCTTGGGCGATGGGGTTAGGGGCCCGTCAGCATTTCAATTCAAAACAACTGGTGCTCACGCAAACTGGGGGAAAGCCTCAAACTGTTCCCTTGCGAATTTCCACCCGAACAATAAAACGAACTCCTAACTCAGCCCAAATAGGGATGATTCAATGCATTGATCCCGAGGAGTATTCTTCGTCGGACATCGGTAGTGGAATCGGGAAACAAGAATATGAAGAAGAATTACCTAGTGAGGATGAATGGAAGCACCTGGTCGAACTTTTCGAACAGGAAATTCCCGAAGAATTTCGAGTGTGCCCCGACACTGCCCGAAGCTTCCACGTGGATTCAGGAGACAGCGCGCTTGCGCCTCCGAAAACCCACTGCAATCCTTCAGTCCTTCTCGGGGAACCCATATTACAAGTATCTGACCTGGCTGATGATTTGGAACCCCCTCGTACAAGGCACTTTTCTTACGAACGCATTATCAACAAACAAAACAGTATCTAGACGTTTCTGTTTTCCCGCCCAGATCGTTACTAACGACGGGGGCGACCATCGCTTTGATTAAACAAGAAGCAGAAACGCCGGTAGAAAACGTGCCTGATCTAATGCAGGAGATGACGGACCTAATAGGACTGACTGTGGAACAGACTTCGGCCGGCTCAGAAACTGATGCCGAAACTAAAGAAACTGAAATGATCAGCCCCGCCGAATCATAGATGATTGCGACTGTCTTCTCTATTCGCACCAGTAGTTCTGTCTTTTCGAGTGTCTACGATCGAAGGGAGCGGCCGGTTGATTGGATCGACATACCCCTTAAGACTCGTGGGGAATCAACGATCACCCTACCGCGCCACGTCCCCACGGAACTTCGAAAGTCACTAATCAATGTTTTGAACGGCTATGCAGAGCTGCCGAGCGTGCATGATAATGATATCGGCTTGACTAACGTGATCGAGCATGTCATCCTCACGGGAGAACATCCGCCCATTAGCTGCGCTCCTTACCGATACTCGCCAACTCAAAGAGCGACCGTTTTTCAGTGGATTAAGGAGTTCGAAGTTATTGGATGGATCGAACCCGCTATAGGTTCATGGTCTTTTCCCGTAGTAATCGTGCCTAAAAAGGAGGGAGGGATTCGCATTTGCATTGATTATCGAAAATTGAATGATATCACGATCAAAGATGTGTACCCCCTCGGATTGATGAGTTGTTGGATGCGATTGGGAGTGCTCGATTTTTCAGTAAGTTCGATGTTCGCCATGGGTTCCATCATCTTCTTGTCCGAGAAGAAGATCGTCTGAAAACGGCGTTTGTGCTTTTTGAGGGTACGAGGCAGTGGATTCGATGTCCGATGGGTATTTGCAACGCCCCCGCGACCTTTCAGCGAGCCATGAATATGGCTTTTCAAAATTTCGTGCGGAAGACTCGTTTGGCGCAGAGCATAATCAACTACTGCGTGATTGTGTACATGGATGACATTCTGGTGTACTCGAGTTCCTACGAGGGACACGTGCAGCACATCGAATGGGCTTTGCATGCGTTACGAGATGCGGGCTTCAAAGTGGCGCTTGAGAAGTGTCAGTTTTTCCTCACCACCATTTCCTTCTTAGGACACGTGGTAACAGACCAGCGGCTCCAACCGGAGCCGCATAAGGTGGCAACTATCAAAGATGCGCCGGTGCCTACGACTATCATGCAGGTTCGCGCCTTTTTGGGCCTGGCCTCGTCCTACCGAAGATTCATCAAGGGCTTCGCGGCGATCGCGGGACCCCTCACGAATCTGCTGCGCAAAGATCAGCCGTTGATCTGGACGCCGGAGTGTGATCAAGCATTTTCGAAACTCAAGGCCGCTCTCATTTCGGCTCCGGTCCTTATAAGACCGGATCCCAAAAAACCTTCTGTTTTCATCACTGACTGACAGCCAGAGGCAATTTCGACGATCCTTGCCCAGGTGGGACCAAGTGGACTCGAGAGCGTGGTGGAGTATGCGTCCAAATCGGTGCCCGCCTGCAAGCGCAACTACACCGCTCCAACGGGAGAATGCTACACGGCTCTCTGGGCAATCAGTCACTTTCGCGCTTACCTGTAAGGGCGGAAGTTCACCTTGGTAACCGATCATGAGCCCCCGTTGGCTCTGAAGAAATCGAAGGATTACTCTCGCATGATCGGGCGATGGGCAACGGTGCTACAGAGCATGGACTTCGACATTCGTCACCGGAAGCACGAGAGGCACGGGAATGCGGACGGACTGACACGACTACACCAGCCTGAGAAAGTTCCGAAGAGTGAGGAGGTGATTCCGTGGAACGAACCCGAACAGGGGGTTGGACCTCGGTACAGCCAAGTGGAGATCTTGTCGAAACAGTAAGTGGCACGAGGACCAATTTGTCTGTTCTACCCTCTCCGCAATTCGGTCCCATCTCTCCTCCTCTGTCATCATGACTACCCCACCTGTCTCCGCAACCCCTTCTTCTCCTACTAATTCAGCCCCTCTCATTTCCTCAGCTTTCTTTGCCACCCTCCCCGATAAGTTCTGCTATTTTTGTACGTGTATTGCACGGGTTTATGGGGTCGACTGTCATCCTTTCGAAACCGGGTTTGTTGATTGGGTAGAATGTGCCACGTGTGTCAATCGTGCGCACGGGGCCTGCGTTCGATATCGGACGAGTAGCAAGAAATGGAGGTGCCCCCTGTGTAGAATGAACAAACTCCCCACGGAGGTTCGATTCGAGGCCGCCCGTACGGACGACCCTGAATACGACGAAAAATACCGACGAGTGGAGGTTTGGACGGATAAAAGTTTATTGGCGAAATTAGCGGGATTATCATTGGGTCACCTCACCAAACACGACAGACGTAGGGCAACCGAAAGATCTCGGGACTATCGGTGGATCAACGGTCATTTGGAGAAGCGTAAAACTAACGGATCGGGTTCGTGGTTGACGGTTCCCCATCCATTCCAGAGATATGATTGGATCCGATCGGCTCACGAAGAACAGGCCGCTCATTTCGCGATACTTGTCACAGAGGCAACTATAGACCAGAACCGATGGTTTTGGTCCAACATACGAGATGATGTCAAATACATTGTCGCCAACTGTCTGGTCTGTGCCCCTGATCGCGCCCCAATACGGGGACCAAACCTATAGTACCAACGGAAGTAGAGCGCCCCTTCCAGCGAGTCAGTATGGACACAACAGATATCGACGTGCCACCTGGCCCAAACCGCTGTGAATATTTTATCCTTTTAGTATTAATTGACCATTTTTCCAAGTACATCGAGGTATATCCCTGTAAGACCCACAAGGCCGCAGAAATAGCCACGTACATCGATCGGTTCCTCTACACTCATCTAGATACGGAACAAATTTTAACCGACAACGGGTCCGAATTTAAGGGAGAAGTAGAGGAATTGCTTGCACAAAGGGGCGTCACGCTCCGACATACGGCCCCCCACGTGTCTCAGTCGAACGGATGGGCGGAGAACACCAACCGCATGATTAAAACCGCCCTTCGCAGGAATTTAGCGGCGCATGACACGCGTCCGTGGCCCGAGATCGTATATCAGATCGTCGGGATCCACCGGGCCACCCCTCATGAGTCCACGGGGTTCACCCCCTTTCAGCTTCGTACTAATAGCCTCCCCTGTGTTGACTACCGGGGTAACTCGGAAATTGCCGAAGCAGGGGGTAGAGACACGCGTGCCGCCCTCAAGGCCAAGGCCAAAAGGTACATCGATTTGATGGAACGGGCCGTCCCGAAGCTAGCCCGAAAAAGACAAAGGATGATCGATCTGGCCCACGGTAGTCAGGCCCATAGCTACGAGGCTCGAAATGGCAATGCTGGGCCCCAACACCAATATAAATTAGGGGACCTAGTGCAGGTACATAAATGTGCACGCGACCGGAAACTCGCTCCCAAATTCTCTGGCTGCTTCCACGTTGTCGAGCTCGGTCCTAGGGGCGCCAACACGGTGCGCATCGCGCCTGAGGCTAGTGCCAGCCATAACTTTGTCCCCATCGTCCGGCATACCTCCTACCTTCGTCCCCTTCCTCCCTCTCCCTCCTCCGAAAGCGAGGAGAACAACGACGATCTAACTCTGTCTCCACTCTCTCCCTCCTGCGCTTCGTCTTCCTCCCCGTCCTCGCCATGAGCTTCATCACGAAGCGAGCTCTAGATGATCAACTGTTGCAGCCACATGGCCACATCTCGGAAATTCGGCAAGTTCGTCATCCACGACTTAATACGGATCTTCGGCGTTTGACGCAGTTCTTCTGCGACGTGGGTGTGTGTTCTGCCGCCGCGTTTCAATTCGAAGGGAGCTCACAGGCAGTGGTACTGGCGGAAGTAATAGCAGTTCATCGGCGATCAGCTCCCTGAACGAGCCACGTCACCACGGTTGCGGCTTTCAGCGGCGACATCAGTTCGATCAATCCACGGTGGCATACCGCGATCTTGACCTCGCTGCGAGAGTGGACGAAGCAGGTGTCCAACGTGTGCCAGCACGGCCTCACCCGACCAGGGCACAACCTCATCCCGGCCTTTGCGCCGGATCTCGACGCGATCCACCGCTCTCCGCGCGAGCCGTCGATTCCGATCCCCACCCTCGTCCCTTTCCCACGCCCCCAATGAACCACGCCGTTCCTCTCGCTCCTCTCTCCATCTTTGGTCTCCCCTCTCTTTTCCCCACCTTCTGGCAGTCCGATCTTCATCCTTCTCTTTCCTTCTCGTTCGAGCCTCTTTCTGTCCCGTTCATTAATCCTGGGCATTGGCGACTGTGGCGCGAAACTTTTGACAAGTTGTCCTTGTGTTTGGCCCGAGTACAGGTGACGTGGACGCAGACCAGCGAGCATCCTGCGTGGATCGAAAATTTGGAGCTGCTGATCATACAAGCTTGGACGACCAACGTGGAGGGCGATCTTCTCGGCTTTCTCTTTGGATCAGTACGGCCGACCGCCGCCAGTTGATTGTGCAGGAGCTCATCACGCCGATCGTCCAATTAGCGAACGATCTCTCGCCCGACATCGTCTCGCAAAGTGATGACAGCCCTGCCCCGTACGTCCTCTTGCGGTCGTTGGATCCGTACCTTCAGTGGACTGCGTGCTTGGAGGAGCCCAGGGACGAAGATACGCTACCATCACGGCAGGAGTATCTGAAGCCTTACGACATCATCCCTCACGCCTTCTATCCGAAGGCGGAGGAAGTGGTGATCGACGACGACGAAGAAGACGACGACGAGGAAACGTCGGAGGAGGGAAGCTATAGCGAGTATAGCGAGGGGGAGCTGAGTGAAGAAGAAGAAGAAGAAGAGGAGGAAGAAGAAATCGGATCTGAGTGGGAAGCCCGCACGGGCACGGAGGTGGAAGACACTGAGGCTGCGCATAGGCGAGAAGAGATTGTCGTCGGGAAATGCCAGCTAGAATTCGCCAGCGGAGCAAGTCAGCGCATCGGTGATGATCCGACCCGGGATCCTGAACCGTCAAAGCCCGGAGATGGCGACCCCGCAGCCGCCGCCCCAAGTATCGCGCGACGGAGACAGAGCAGATCCCCCTCCTCCTCCAGCCCCACCCGTCTCCTAGTTCGCCCACGTACCGATGCGAGCGATAGGCCTTCGTCCTCGAACGCTATCCCGCCGCCCCCTTGATTTCCTCACCATCGAACAGATCCGCATCCCCGTCACCTTCCCCCTCCATCCCTTCCTTCCCCATCTCTTCCACGATTTCTACTCTACCCGCCTACTTGCTACCGTCTACCCCCCCCCATCCCTTCAGCCCGCTGCCCCCACGTTCTGTTGGCATATCCTGTTCTTCAGCGCTGCATGGGAGCGATGCAGCATGGTAGAAGTCTACTGCGTAGCCACGGGGACAATCCCCGCTTGTCGCCACTACGAGTTCTTTCGAGCGGCGCTCCTCCGCACCCTCTCCTCCTTCTATCGCGACTACCTCGCTTCCCTCCCTCATAGCGGTGATCGCTTTCCTCGCTTTCACCGGATCATCCGATATGAGGAGCTTCCGGTGACGGTAGAACGGATGAACACTTCCTCCCCGTCGTCCTCGTGAGCTCCACTCCATGTACCGCCTCTACCGGCCCATTCCAACTAGGCGGTAGATCCCGGTCACATGACTACCCCCCCCCCCCCCCYCTCCTCCTCTCTTCATCTAATCAGGGGAAAACGCCACGAATCAGTAAGCTTCGCGAAGATCACGCCATCGACGATGACGTCAACCTACGCTATGCTTTGACGGGCAGCGACAAACTGGGGTGCAGAGCACACGGAGAACAGGCGGACGATGATGGCGTCAATTGGACAACCATCGATGATTCCAGCAGCACGAGCCAACAGAACCACGAAAAGATTGCAATTGAAGATGGCGTCAACATGGACTCTGGCTGGATCGTTTGTTGATACGCTTGGTTTCTCATTCATCACTCTGTTTTATCTCTCTCTCTCTCCTTCTCCGCCATAACATGCAATCAGGAGATCGCATAATTTTGGAACCCCCTGCGCGTCACACATGTGACGAACTACTTCCCGAACCCGTGCTATCTTTCGTACCCCTTTTTGCTTGTATCATACCAACCCCATAAAAACCCCGTTTCGTTTTCTTGATTTCGGGTGCCGCGTTTTGGGCCCCCATCTTTCGGAAGCTTTTACAATTTCCGGGTTCTGCTTTTTCTTTTTGCAATTCGAGAAATACATAGGAATTTACGTGCGTCTTAGCGAGCGCACTGGGAATTGGGCCCGACAGTTGGGAATTCCGGGATAAGCGAAATTTCGACGCGTCCTTTTTGTGTGTGAATGTTCTCGGTCGCGTTGGGGATAACTCTCGGAATTTTGTGGGCATACGAATAGGCGTAGGACTTTCTTTTCCCGCCTTGCTCTTTTGCGCGCGGATATGGTGATTTCAATTTTGAATTGGCAAGCTGTAACTGTTTCGGTGCCTTTTTCTCTTTTTTTTGTTGACAGCGCCACGCATGCAAAGCTTTCTCCTCTCTGTCCCCCGCATCGCTCTCTCCTGCGCTCCTTTTTCCTTCCTCCTCTTCCTCTCTCCTCGTAACTGTTTTTCTCCCTCTCTGTTTTTTGCGCGCCCATTTCCCTTTCTTGATCATCTGAATCTGGGACCCGTCTTGCGCTACTTCTCGCGCCTTTTCTTTTCTCGCCCTTTGAGCAAAGCTTGCGAAGTCCGGTCGATCCTTCGATTACTCTCGCCCACCAATCAGACGCGTGGTACGGTAGGATCTGTCTATTGCACGATGAGTCTGATTGGCCAATTGTCGAGTTCCGAAGGATCAGCATGGCTTCTGTAGCGCGTTTCTCCCCAAGTCTTCCCCTCCTGCTTCTCTTCTTACACTTCGACTTTCCCTCTGCCTTCTCTCTCCCTTGTCTCCCTCCTCGCCACTATAAATTCCGCAAACGCGCCCGCAAATCTCTCTTACCGTCTTACGTTCTCGACTCCCAAGCCAGCTTCTGGGAAGCAGTGGCTAGGCAGAGTGTTTGGTGCGAGTCGAAAAGTCCTGTCGGGCTAACGATAGGCTGGCCGGTTGCGCACTGGATCGCCACGACAGACTGTGGGATCTGGGCGAACCGCGTCGAGTTTACGTCGGCGGGGTGACGATCGCAGTGGTGGGAGTTAGCACGCGACGGTCGGGATCGTCGGTGCGGGTATGAGGATCGATGATTGGAGTTGAGTGAGTGATTGGCCCGGGGCCATATTGGAATTCACGGCGAATGCGCCTTTGTTGTTGCGGATCTTTATCTTTGGCGTGAGTGTACGGATCTTGTCATCTCCTATCTCGATCTTCCTCCCTCGTCTCTCTTTCTCTTTTCTATCTTTGAGTGACGATGTGTCTTGATGCTTGTTCCTCTCGTAAATGAGAATGAGTTTGTATGCTTTCCTGCGTGTAGGAACTTCTTCTGGAACTCTTCCATTAGTTTCCTGGGTAATCCCCGGCGGTCGAGGAATTGATCCTCTTGTCTTGTGAACGGTGCATGCGTGTGTACAATTCCCTCGGTTGATTTTCGATTTGTGTACCCTTGTCATTTTCGCACCTTCCACAGTGAATGAATGTATGGAGATGCTTGCCTTTTTATTAGACGCCGCACTCAGCGGGATTTTGTTCGAGAATGCAAGAGTGTTTAGATTTGTAGTTCTGAATGCACTGCGCATGCCATCTGCCTTATGTTGCACGACATCAGCAACCGATCTACAGGGCAGCCTCGAGAAATAAGGCGCCTGGGATCAACACCGCGGTGGCTTACGGAAACCTGAGTCGCGGGTCGGTCCCTCAGTTACATCCATGATCGAGCTGATGAATGTTTCCTCTCTCTCTCTCGTGTCGAAAAGGATTGATTGGTGATTGCGCGAGTGGTTTTCCTTGATGACGTCTCGGAATTTTTGCAATTGATTGACATGTGGACTGACAAGCACCCTTCGATCGGTCGTCAGCCTCCCGTACCTCCCGTATCAACACGACTTTTTCCCTACAACGAGGAAAGGACACGTGTATGCGAGTGGGACGTACAAGAAGCTGTCGCACAGATCGGCGGACGATACTACTTCCCTCCGGCAAACCGTTGTTCAGGGTTCGTAGAGGCTGGGTTTGTCGTTATCGATACACACTTCCCACCCTACTCGATATTGTTGTCATTCAACGAGTTGATAGTCATCCCTTGGACGGCAGTAGAACCCCACTGGCCGCGCACTCTATGCACCGAATGCCAGCGCTTTGAGCGCTACGAAACCAGGGATTTCCACTACCGTGTGCGGAGTGAGGACGAACATAGAGAAAGAGTCACTCGACTAAGACCCTCCACGTCGGATTCAGAACCGGTTAGTGAACGGCGACGGGACTTAAAACGGAAACGAAACACGCGAAGCATGCTGCAGCCTTTCTATTCTAAACGACGGGCCGTAGCCAGGTGGGAAGTCCGACAATATTTTCTGGATTGAATTTGTTTTTCTCTCCCCTCTCGCGCCAAACTTCCACGCGCATTTTGCGTCGCTCGAAAAACGATCGACTTACTTCGTCGGACCAACACGGGGGATATTAGTTTCGTTTGTATCCCCACACTCAACTTCCAAAAATCCTTGGCACACCCCATCTTGCTATTTTTCCCGGCCTCTTTCCGCACATCTAGCACTCCGAACGAAAGACAGTACAGGGCGTGAGGTTGCGCGTCACACCCAAGGGTAGTCTACGGTGTTATATGTTGGTTGTGGGTTTACAGGGTTTGCTTGGGGTGTTGGTCTTGGGCATTCTGATTTTCTCCCCAGTCTGGCATATCACACGTTCGATCCATATCTGGTAGTTGTCCATACGGTAGATTCTTCGATTACACGTTACAAGGTCAGGGGTTCGAGCTTGGCTCCGTCCTTGCGGGGGGTCCTTGTCCAACTTGCCCCGTTCTCTCCTTGATTTACACACACGATTCACAGAGTACACACATAGTCCACGGTGTTGTATGCTGGTTGTGGGTTTACAGGGTTTGCTTGGGGTGTTGGTCTTGGGCGTCCTGATTTTCTCCCCAGTCTGGCATACCACACGTTCGATCCATATCTGGTAGTTGTCCATACGGTAGAGTCTTCGATCACACGTTATAAGGTCATGGGTTCAAGCTTGGCTCGGTCCTTGCGGGGGGTCCTTGTCCAGCTTGCCCCGTTCTCTCCTTGATATACACACACGATTCACAGAGTACACACATATACACGTACTAGTGGAGGTGGTATGAGCACCTCTCACCAGTATGTGTATATATGGTTGTATGCTGCTCCCCACCATGGAGCATCTGCGAAGTGAATAGTAAGTACTGGTGAGAGGTGCTCGTATTACCTCCACTAGTACGTGTATATGTGTGTACTCTGTGAATCGTGTGTGTATATTAAGGAGAGAACGGGGCAAGCTGGACAAGGACCCCACACAAGGATCGAGCCAAGCTCGAACCCGTGACCTTGTAACATGTAATCGAAGACTCTACCGTATGGACAACTACCAGATATGGATCGAACGTCTGATATATCAGACTGGGAAGAAAATCAGAACGCCCAAGACCAACACCCCAAGCAAACCCTGTAAACCCACAACCAACATACAACACCGTGGACTACCCTTCCGTGGTGCGCAGGCAGTGTCTCTAATAGTACCATGTGTTAGCCCAAGGGGATGTGTGTCCAGCCGTGCGTCAATCTAACGCCCTGTCGGTGTCCATGCGCACTGCTGCGGGGTTTTGAACCCACAACCTTCTACCACAATGCGCATTTCCAACCGGTGCTCTAACCACTGAGCTACATCAACTGGACACCCTACGAGCTAGCCCCCTCACTAGTAGGACGCTTGATATCCCACCATCTACTTCTCCCACTCACCTCTTTTTTGAAACAATGTTCCAATGTATTCGTGGGGAGCAGCACGTGCTGGGAATCGGGTCCAGTGTCCCTTCAGAAAACATATTAGGAAACGTATGCGAAATAATTTAGATACCGGGGCAATTACCCGGCTTCGGCTAAAGAATCCTGAAAACACATGAGGATAGTCACAGACGGAGCACCACAGAAGTTTTCAAAATACTCCCCCAGGGACCCCAAACAAAACACTCCACGACCCTCCGACCCTGTTTTATTCACTGTCGCGCTCTTCCAGGCCTCACACCCCCATCCTGCTAGGTT